GCTTCTCATCTTAAATTCAGGTGATTGGATTTGCACCAATGGAAACTATAAACTTTATCTACAATAAGCAAGGAGGGGGCTGGGGGCCGATTCGCTTATTTTTAGACGTGATGATCCAGTGGTTCTCACTCTGAGAATCTTTGGCTTGCTTAGCTTGTTATTTCATTCCGTTCCGATTGCATGTTCTTTCTTTAAGTTAAGGGCTGTAAGTTACATATATTAATAAATAGTTTAACGTACATTAAATATTTTTCATTACAGAAAATAAAAATAAGAAGATTTCTATTTCTATAACTTCTATAATTAATAATAATGCCATTATATGGTAATAAATTTTATAATAAAATAATAATTAAGTATTATATGGTGACAAGAATAAATAAAATTATTAGTATTTGTTATCACCAAGGAAGAAGAGAACTAAGGGAGAAAACCTGACCACCTCCATGTCGACACCTACACAAGGCAAACGATACCACAACCAAACCCCACAAACACACCGAAGCCCGCCTCGCCTCGACGCCATGGAATCCGGCGATCCTCGACCCGAGAAGGCAGCCAGGGAGATGTGAGATCCCGTCAGGCACGACTAACCAAGCTCCACCTCCTGAAAAGACGGGCCCAAATACAAATTGGGGTCGAGTTGCGTAGCCAGGAGCCGGCCTCCGTCAAAGAGCCTGGCAGACTAGACTCCCTAGGGAAGGCAGATCTTAAGAATTAGGCGCGACTAGAAAAAGAGATTTTTTTTTTCTTTTTTGAAGAGAGAGAAATAAAATTCAACTCCCACGTTAACTTTCTCAAAATAGAAAATATTACAATTTTTTTTTCTCTTTTTAAATAGGAAGATTAATAGTGTTCTCACTTTTCTTATTAGAGGACTCGAACCCATGGCCTGATCGGTTATAGAAGCGTCTTTCCGCCAATCTGTGCTTCGTTGTCGAAAATTTTGTAACTTTTTTCATCCAGTGGTTGGGAGAAAAAATTGTAATCACATTGTTAGCTGTGTATATTACGGTACTAGTGCGCAGCCCGTGCGATGCACGGATAAATAATATTAAATAATAATTATAAATTAAAGAGGCGAGTAAATAATATTAGCTAATAATTATAATTAAATCTGTGTGGTAACATATATATGTAAGAAGTATCTAAAATATTCTATGTTAAACGCAATTCCCATTCAACAGAAAATAGTGTAAATAACGCAAAAGAGTCTAGCTTTCAGTATATACAATAACATGACCCACATGCATGAAACGGTGATCAGACGGTCTAAATCGGTCAAAATGATCAACTGTCGTGAACAATCCATTTTACCTATAAAAGGAGAAATTTCCCTACTTGTTAAGGATTTCATAAGATCCACTACACATTACTTGTTTTTTCTCAACTTTGTTTTGTTCGATTCTGAAGAACGATTCACGAATTAACCTTGTGAATCTTCTGTTTTTGTTCTCAATCAACGATACGTATTTCCAGAAATCACGTAAAAAGGGTGGATCTTATGCTTTTTGTTCGAATTTCACTTGTTTTTCCAAATACCGAACAAATTCTTGGGTTTGTATTGTGCCTTTTATTTGGATTTAAAAAATTAATACAAATCTCTAGTTTTTGATTTTTTGTCCGAATCGTGAATTTTGTTTTCGTCCAATTTTCTTTTGTTGTGTGTTTTTCTGTCGATTTGTACCACCATGTTTGTATTTGTCGTATCTTTCTAATTAGTTTTCGTATTTGCTGCGGATGAACAAAAGAAGTGATTGCTTCAACGATGGTGTTCCATCAAATCTTAAAGATGAAGTATAGAGAAAAAACTAAAATAAATGTACTTTACCTCATGTGTGGTGTGGTTTGATTAAAGGAATAAATAACTCATAATAGACTAATATATATTGTAGTCCTTATCATGTTGGTTAGGTATGTTCACGAAATTGGATTTTTTAGATGCTGATCATGGATCCAATGAAAGTTTATCTCATAAATATGAAATCCACTGTGTACAATTGAGATTTGTTCCGATTTTGTCTGCAATTTTTATTTACACGAATCTGTATACAATTGAGATACTGGTTTTAAAGATTAATCATGTTTTAGTGTTGATTTGATTTTAATTCCATAAAATGTTTTATCTTATCATTCTGTTAAAAGATAGATTCACAATGCATGCCTCCTATTCAACAAAATCTGCTATTTATCTTAAACACCTATTAATAATGGTTTACCGTAAATAATATTGTTTTGATCACGTTTGTAACTTGCAATTTTAAAAGATATTTTGACAAATACATGCTTAGATTTACCAAATTCTGTTACCAAATGCATCAGGAGAGTTACCAAATGCATGGCAATGTCATGCAAGATAATATGAAACTGAAATTAGTATTGTATGATATGAAAATCGATATTTTCTAAATTAATTTAATATTAATTATTTTTATTGGGGAATGTTATAATACAGTAAATTATAATACAGTTTAACTTATACTAAAGTATCCAAAAATTTATAGAATCCTTCATTTAAGGAATTATAGATGCTTGCCAATTTTGAGATTTGTATTGCCGATTTGTAGGACTTAGAAATTTGAATGACTGATTTTAAATTTGATTTTTAAAAAACCCATGAAACAAGCAACATTAAATGCTGCTCGAATTAAAAAAAAAAAATCTAAAAAAGCAAATTTGAATAAAACTTTCCGAAAAATGAATGTAATTAATATCCTCAGGATATTTTTTATTGCTATTTTTGATAAATAGTTATTTTTATTATATATATATATATAGATTATTTTTATTTAGGATTTCTGAATTTTTCAAATAGCTTGATTTTGTGCCGAATAGAGTAAAAAAATCAAGCTATTTGAAAAATTCAGAAATCCTAAATAAAAATAATCTATATATATATATATAATAAAAATAACTATTTATCAAAAATAGCAATAAAAAATATCCTGAGGATATTAATTACCAGTAAAGCATTCCGCGGCCTCCCTGGCGAAGAGCGCCACTTTTCTGCTTCGGATGGTCATTTGACGGGGAGAGAGTTCAAGGTCAACGATGGAGAGTAGGACGGCGGTGGTCGAAGCTAGGTCGGAGATCGTTTCCTTCACTTCAGTCCCCGGAGGTGCGGCGATTTGCTTCGGTAAGACATCATTTTCTTGCCCTTTGTCTGCGAATTTTGAATTCGGATTTCGCCGGTGGAGCTTCACCTTTTTAGGTGGGGCCGAGCCGTTTTGTCTTTGGTTATCTGTGGTGGAGATGTGGCTATGTCCGATTCGCTGGGAAGGGCGGGACCTGGGCTGCCGCGTCATTCCTTGTCGCGACAGTCGGGGGGAGGGCTGCTCTCGTCTTGCTCAAATCCCCGTCAACTAGTGGTGTTAGGTGGCGGGGGAGGTTCTATCGGCCTCGTCTAGTGGTGATAGAAGAGTTCGGTTGGAATCGGAGTGGGATGGATGCTGGGCCTCTTGGTTGTCGATCGGTTGACTTGGGGATTGTTTCGGGATTCGGATTCCGCTACTGTATAGGCTTAATTGCAGTTTCGGTAGCTGGTGCTTGGTCTGGATTGGTCTCATGTCAATCGTGCACTTCTTGTCCGAGCTTACTCGTTCGTTGCGGAAGGGCTATTAGATTATTTAGTTTAGTATTGTTGTGTTCTTGTTATCTATTCATGTGTTTTGGTTTGGATTAGTCTGTCTTGTGTCTGTATTGGATTTGCTCTGGTCTTGTATTTTAGGTTTGGGTCACTTGGCCCCTGTGCGAGGGATTACTCCGTTGGAGTCGTCCTACATTACCTCGTTGGAGGTCGTTCCACATTACCTCGTTTGGGGTCGTTTCGCATTTAGGTCGTTAGTGTTGTGTTTTTTGCTTGTGAGTTTCTTTTCTAGCGTTGCTAGTCGTCTCTAGGCGGTCTTTGAGACCTGTCCTCCCAGTTTTATTCAGCTGTTGGCTGTATTATTCAGCCATGGGCTGTGTACTTTGCACATTTGTGCGTTTTTGTTATATAATATTTTCTATCGTTTCGTAAAAAAAAAAAGAGTAATAAGATAGTTGAGGTTCTATAAACCATCAAGATATTGAAAACTTAATCAAATTAAAAAACGTTTGATTTTTCCCAAAAAAAAAATTATGCTCATCACATTCTCATGAAATATAGGAATAGAAATTTAAAGAATTACCAATTGTCTTGAAGATTTATTTATGCATTTGTTTGGATTCTTTAGAATCCCAAAAAATATTGGGATGTAATTAAGATATTTAATAATACACGTGCGTTTGAAAATAATAATTGTATTTTGGATAGTTTGGACTTAATCACAATAATGTTGGGATATTTTTCAAATTCAAATTAATTTGGTTGTGTATTTGTGTGTATCCAGTATCCTGTTTGTTTATCTCAATTCTTTTCATAATTATCACATAGATAGAATTAATATGTGCATTTGGGATAGTTTGAATTTTAGATTTTTATATGTTTAACATTTTAGAAAGGTAAGAATAAGACATAAAAAAATAGATAATTAGGATTTACGGCTTATCAATAATTTTATTTAGGATATACGAATTTTGTATTTTGTGTCAAATAGGGTANATTCAAAAAAATTAAAACCGCTTGATTTTGTGCCAAATAGAGTATATAAGATAGTTGAGATTCTATAAATTATCAAAATATTGAAAACTTATTCAAATTCAAAAATGTTTGATTTGCCCAGAGCAAAAAAGATTACACTTATCACATTCTTATGAAATATAGGAATAGGAATTTAAAGAATTACCAATTATCTTGAAGATTTATTTCTGCATTTATTTGGATTCTTTAAAATCCTTAAACCGATTTTATGGAATTTTTTTTTACTAAATCGATGTTATAGGATAAAACAAATAAATAAAATAATTAAATAAAATACTTGCTGGAAATAGAATGATATTAATTATATTTGACTTTTCTGCCTACTATTACTAGTAAATAGGATGAGTTTCTATTAATTACATTTGATTTCCTCTATCATCCAGTATCAATATGCAGACACACTGGAGTGAACTCTAACCACTACAGTTGCTACCGGCAAGCCCATGGAAGTGCCATCTCCTTCGTCCCCCGGAGTTCCACCGGTCCAACTGCGAGACTGCCTAGAGGAACTACTGAAATTCACGCTCCTTTCCTCCATTAATGGCAAAATCAACACCGGCCTCTCTACTCATTATTGTTCAAAGCTCCTTGAAGACGACGATCCTGGAAACCCTTTCCCCGTCGACTACGGTATACACTGCTGCCGGCTTTCCAAAAATTCCTAACATTTTAGGGTTTCTATTTTTCCTTCAAACTTTTACATTTTGAGCACCAGTAGTGATCGAATTTTGTTCCCCTTTTCATAATCTTGTGATGCCTTTGTACGTGTGTTCTCATAAACCGCGTGTGCATTTTCAAATGGTGGGGAGAAAGAACAAGAAAATCATAATCTGTTTGTAGTGGTTCTAGTAACCATTGGACCTCATATCCTCAGTTTTCACTGGGGAAAATTGCTGCTTGCTTACTGTATTGTGTTCTTTGTAGAACAAGATGGTACAGGGAAGATCTATGAATACCATTACAGAGAGTATCAGGCGAGAGCAGAATGAAGCTCAATGAGCAATCTTTGCCTTCATCAGTTCCAGATTACAATGCCTAAGATATCCCAACTTATAAAAAGATCTGTGTGTCTGAGCATGAGAAACTCGTATTTGGCATTGTTGCTAAGTTGCTGCTGTGTTGAACATGTATTTTTTTTTTTAATATTTATGTATGACCTGCCGAATATGGAGGAAATGCGTATTATCTGACATTGAGATGTATTTATTTCTATATGACTTCCCGATACACATGTAGGGTTGAAATTTTTATATCTAGAAATCAACTTGTTGTAGTGTTGGCTCTGAGAATGCGTGAACAAATCATGATTGGCTCTTTTAATTTTCTGGATTTAATCAACTTGCCCTCTTAGACCTCTCAAAGATTATGATCTAGATATCTCTCTGCATGACAATTAGTTACTACTGATTTTTAGTTTCGTGTTTAATAGGAGTTTCTAGCGGTGTTCCATCATATCCTTTATACAAGCACCTGGCAGCCTCTCTTTATCAGTTAATACATTCTGGAACATTGTGTACAACACATAAAGAAATTGTACCCATGCCTGAAGATCGTTCCTTAAAGAATAAGGACGGAGAATGGAACAAGCTGGTTATGGAAAAGGGTTCTTCTTTACTGAGTGTGAGACTGAAGATTCTATTTAGTTGATGTGTTAACTTTTGAGACGATAGCAAAGATCTTTTATTTAATCAATTGTGTGATTGTGTTTTTATAGATGCTGAAACAAGTGGATTTTGAGCTCCATGTTCAGGAGCCTTTCTTTTCCCAGCTCAATGGTATTGATTAGTTTGTTCTGAATCTTACTATTTATTGTTATATATTAGCATAATTGTTGTTGATTTATCATTCACTCTCATAAACTTTCTGACTTGTTTAAGACAAATTTTTTATTGTATACAGATGGACTGAAAACAGTTGAAGGACGATGTGCTGTTGGAGACTACAAGAGGTATAACTCAATTTAAGTTATTTGACACTCAACTACAAGAGGTAAAACCTGCCCAAGCCTGTTATCTAGATTTTTTTATGGGTTAATAAACTTAATTATTATGTTATTGAGTAGAGCTAAGTATCATTGTCATGTTTTTAACTTAAAGCATGTGAAATTATATCCAGCACAGTAAGCTAAATACAGAACCTTCACGGTAACTTCCATTCGTTTAAACTATAGAATAAGTTGTGGACAATGTCATCACTTACTCCCAGAATGAAATGATTCTGCTTCCAATTGATTACTGAATAATTATGTTAATCGAGAATGTGGTCTTTGACAATGTTTATGATGTAATATTGAAACAAAAAATCCTTTATCAGGGTAATTAGGCAGATAAAACTGTACTTGAGACCTTTTTACTTTTAGTTTCTTTTTGTTTTTTTTTTTTCTCTTACACTTTCTTATATAAGGCTATCAATTATCATTAACTTTTCAGTTTTTGTCTCCTCCAATGTTTCATCTCTTTTTGGTACCAGAATTCAATGTGGAGATTTGCTGTTATTCAACAAATGTCTGACACTTGAAGTCAAGGTGCTAGTAGGTTCCACTTCTTTTTGTATACGAAATTGAGTCTCCTATACTAAAACTCTGAATTTCCAGGATACCCGGAAGTATGCTTCGTTTCATGAGATGTTGGAAGCAGAGAGTCTAGCAGAAGTTCTTCCAGGAGTATCAAACATTGAGGAAGGTAGTTGTCGACATCGAAATTTTAATATTTTATTAATTAATGTCTTTATTTATTTTTGAACATAAATCCATGATAAATAAGATATATACTTAGTAATGTTATTATTTCTTGCCCACCAAGTCAAATCTTAGGATAAGAAAGAATCTTAGAATAAGAAAAGAGATTATATCAAATTAAGAAGGACCAATCAAATTGATGTCTTCTTCTCCAAGACTCTCTCTCCTACACCTATAAATAGGGCTCTTCTCAATGCCACAAATCACACCTCAAAATTCAAATCTCAAATCCAAGAGCTCTCAATAATTTTCTTGAGTATCCAAGTGTATTCTTCAAGATCCAAGACATTAAAGTTAAAGATTGTCTTTCAAGTTCAAGTCTCTCTCCATGAAGGATCAAAGAAGAAATCGAGGTTCAAGTCCAAGTCTCTCTCCAAGAAGGATCAAAGAAGCAAGTCCTCCAAGAAGTCCTCTTCAACCAAATCAAGTCCTAACATTTAATACGGGAATAAGTCATTCGACCCACAAATTAATGTTCGAGAAATTCAAGATCAAGCTCAAAGAAGATCTAAGTCCAAATTCATATTCGAAGATCTAATCCAAATTCAAGAAGAGAAGAATCAGAGGAGATAATAGAGATTGTACCCGCATATCGTTTGATCAATATATATTCAAGTTGTACAAAAAGTTTTATGTTTTTCATAAAATTTGTTGTTACAAATTTGGCACGCCCAGTGGGACTTTCTCTACCTCTCATCTCTTCTCTCCAAATCAAGTTCAAGATCTTTGAAGATGCATGAAGACCTCTTTGAAGAAAATGTACACGGGGTCGATGGATGATGTCTCCCCAAACCATGAAGCCGCTAAAATCGTCGTGTTCATCAAACATACGAGAAAAGAAAAGTGGTCTTCTCAAATTCCATGGGGGCAATTTACATGAAAAGCTCAATCAAATCCTCAAATTCAAATGCTCATTGATATGAGCCTAAACTATCTACATATTTAAATGCTCCTTGACAAGAGTCTAAACTATCTACAAATTTAAATGCTCCTTGATACGAGCCTAAACTATCTACATATTTAAATGCTCCTTGACAAGAGTCTAAACTATCTATAAATTTAAATGCTCCTTGATACGAGCCTAAACTATCTATATGGCTCCTTGATACAAGCTTAAACTATCTATAATGCTCATTGATATGAGCCTAAACTATCTATATGGCTCCTTGACACGAGCATAAAATGTCTACATATCAAGATCTCCTTGACACGAGAATAAAAGGTCTACATATCAAACTTGAAGGCTCCTTGACACGAGCATAAAATGTCTACAATGTTCCTTGATACGAGCTTAAACTATCAATATGGCTCCTTGACATGAGTATAAAATGTCTAAAACTTTGAAGCTCCTTGACACAAGAATAAAAGGTCTACAAGTCAAATATCGAAGGCTCCTTGACACGAGCATAAAATGTCTACAAATTTGAAGGCTCATTGACACGAGCATAAAATGTCTACAAATTTGAAGACTCCTTGATATGAGTATAAACTATCTTTCAAATTAAATCAACACTCCTGATATGAGTGTAAACTATCTATAAATCAAATCGAATGAAGAACTCTTTGATACGAGTATAAACTATCTGTCAAATCAAATCAAGACTCTTTGATACGAGTTTAAACTATCTACAAATCATGTCAAATGAAGAACTCCTTGATACGAGTATAAACTATCTGTCAAATCAAATCAAGACTCCTTGATACAAGTTTAAACTATCTACAAATCATGTCAAATGAAGAACTCCCTGATACGAGTCTAAACTATCTGCATCTCTCAACCAAATTCAAAATTTTGAGACTCATTCACTACCAAGACATTTTGTTCATGAACAAGTCTCAAGGGGGCATTTGTAGACATCGAAATTTTAATATTTTATTAATTAATGTCCTTATTTATTTTTGGACATAAATCCGTGATAAATAACATATATAATTAATAATATTATTATTTCTTGCCCAGCAAGTTAAATCTTAGGATAAGAAAGAATCTTAGGATAAGAAAAGAGATTATATCAAATCAAGAAGGACCAATCAAATTGATGTCTTTTTCTCCAAGACTCTCTCACCTACACCTATAAATAGGGCTCTCCTCAATGTCACAAATACTACAACAACAACAACAACATAGTCTTTTAGTCTCAAGCAAGTTGGGGTAGGCTAGAGATGAAACCGAAGAGAACCAATGGTAAGAGAAACACAAAAAGGGCTCAAAACAAAAGGAAGAGATTGGAGCAAAAGAGAAAGGAGCAAAAGTCACGGTTCTGGCACGTTGATTGTAAGCTTCTAAGCGCTCCTCTTATCCACCGCTAAATCCTTGGAGATATTCCAATTTTTAAGGTCTCTCTTAACCTACTCTTCCCAAGTGAGTTTAGGCCGACCTCTACCTCTCTTTACATCATCGACCCGTTGTAAAACTCCCCTGCGCACCGGTGCATCAGGAGGCCTCCGTTGGACATGTCCGAACCACCTCAGCCGATGTTGAACCAATTTCTCCTCAATTGGGGCCACCCCGACCCTATCTCGAATATCCTCATTCCGGATTTTATCCCTTCTTGTGTGCCCGCAGAACCACGCAACATACGCATCTCTGCTACATTTAGTTGTTGGACATGTTTCTTTTTTGTAGGCCAACATTCAGCACCGTATAGCATCGCCGGGCGAATCGCCGTCCTATAGAACTTACCTTTTAGCCTTTGTGGCACCCTCTTATCACAGAGAACGCTCGAAGCTTGACGCCATTTCAAATTTTCAACCAACCGGCTGCAATTCTATGCCTAACATCAACATCAATGCCGCCATCTTTTTGTAGCATCAATCCTAAATATCGAAAAGTCTCCTTCTTGGTCACCACTTGCCCGTCAAGGCTAACGTCACCATCATCATGTGTAGCCATGCTGAAAGCGCACTTCATGTACTCGGTCTTCGTCCTACTAAGTCTGAAGTCTTTCGATTCTAACGTGTCCTTCCACAGCTCTAACTTCTTATTTACCCCTGTCCTACTCTCGTCAACTAGCACCACATCATCAGCAAAGAGCATACACCAAGGGATATCACCTTGTATGTCCCTTGTGGCCTCATCCATCACCAAGGCAAATAAATAAGGGTTCAATGTTGACCCCTGGTGTAGTCTTATTTTAATTGGGAAGTCGCTGGTATCGTCCCCACATGTTCGGACACACGTCATCGCATCCTTGTACAAATCCTTGATGAGGGTAATGTACTTAGATGGGACTTTGTACTTTTCTAAGGCCCACCGCATGACATTCCTCGGTACTTTGTCATAAGCCTTCTCAAGGTCGATAAAGTCGTCCTCAATGCCACAAATCACACCTCAAAATTCAAATCTCAAATCCAAGAGCTCTCAATAATTTTCTTGAGTATCCAAATGTGTTCTTCAAGATCCAAGACATTAAAGTTAAAGATTGTCTTTCAAGTTCAAGTCCCTATCCATGAAGGATCAAAGAAGAAATCGACGTTCAAGTCCAAGTCTCTCTCCAAGAAGGATCAAAGAAGCAAGTCCTCCAAGAAGTCGTCTTCAACCAAATCAAGTCCTAACATTTAATACGGGAATAAGTCATTCGACCCACAAATTAATGTTAGAGAAATTCAAGATCAAGTTCAAAGAAGATCCAAGTCCAAATCCATATTTGAAGATCTAATCCAAATTCAAGAAGAGAAGAATCAGAGGAGATAATAGAGATTGTACCCGCATATCGTTTGATCAATATATATTCAAGTTAGTACAAAAAGTTTTATGTTTTTCATAAAATTTGTTGTTACAGTAGTAACCATACATGATGTGTTAGATAATGGTGCTATGAACAATCTTCTTATGAATTGGTTTTACCCTTTATGAATCAACCAGTAAAACACAAATATCACATCTGCTTTTTAGAAGATTCTGTACCTGTACCTGTCCATTTTTTTTTTATTCTTATTGTTTATTTGTTTTTGTGGTTCTCATGATATTTATACTTCTTTTTTGTGATATATTTGGAACTTCTCATGAATTCATAAAGCTTGAGTATATTAAAGTTCCTTAAGCCTTTCTCCTTATAACATTTCAGCATTTGAATAATCCACCTCTGCTCTGCTAAACTCGCATTGCATCTTTTCCCATTGTATTCAATCATATTCTTTTCTAGACTTTGGAAAACCAAGTCTGATCCACTACACTATGTTGGATATAAGTGTACGCATTTGTCTTCCAAAAAATGGCAACTAACAACACAAAGGAGAATGATGAAGAACGGCTCTATCAAATAAAGAACATGAACACGACTTGTTTTTCGAACAAACTTGAACAAAGAATTCAAATGAATAAACAAAGTCAAGGCACATAAAACATGCTCTATGTAAAACGAAATTGCCACCGGTTAATGCCCAGGGTTTTTGACAAACGTCTCCAACATACAACAATTTTTATGTTGTGTATAGTGGCACTTCAAATACACGAGATTTCAGCAAACTTACTTGTTTTTAGAATTCTCAAGAAATAAAGAAACAATAAATGAACACAAGATGACATTATCTATTTTATGTGGGTAAATAATTTTTTCCAACCTGTACTATACGTGTTTTTGGGATTTTCAACCTAAAGTATTTTTTGTTGTAAAATGCAACCTGAACTACATATATACAATTATTTGCACGCTCGACTACTTTTTGACTGTCCGATCATCCGCAAAAAAGGACACGTGTATGGTCAAGATGTGGTCGAGCGTGCAAATAGTGACTGTATATGTAGTTCAGGTTGCANAAATTGGGAACTTGCCCGATCATCCAAAACCGAGTTCGAACCTTTTCGCCACTAGTAGGTGCATCCAGGTCGCGAGGCACGACGAGTTGTTGTGTATGTTCAGCTGCCCGTACTTGCTGGTCCAGACTCCAAACATTGCCCTGTTTTTTCCTACTCATCCCCAACGAATCCTATTAGAGTTCTAGCATGCCTATTGCATGATTATATCTCGTTTTCCTTGTCCAAACATTCATAAAAAAATGAACGTTTTGCGAATTCAACAATCTTTGTGTTACTTAAACTCAATTCTGAGTTACATAAACTGAATTTCCCCACATTTCAATCTTTAGAATTAATTTTGTCCATTGCAAATGGAGCTGGAAGAGTCATTGTTGACAATTCTCCTGGCATAGTGCTAATAATGGACTAGATCAAAATGGCTCAATTAAATTCTAGTGCTTCTTCTATTAGTGAAGTTTCTAGAAAAAAAAAATTATATATCAAACGGCGCAATGCACCTTGGGTTGCTACGGAAACAGCCTCCTTGTATAATTACAAGGGTAAGGTCTGCGTACAACTGACCCCCCAGACCCCAACCTGTTGGGAATATACTGGGTATGTTGTTGTTGTTGTTGTTATCTTTAAATTGTATTTTGATATTTTTAATTTATTCCAAGTCTTCCACTTGCGAAAAATGGAACCTTAAAGCGGTACAAAACTAATTTTTCTTACACACTATAGTACCATGTACTTCATAAGTTATGTTCCATATTCAAGTGTGGGATAATCTGCTCCTCCACTATTCATCCATTTATCAGTAAACTTTAAACCTCTTTAATCTTTATCACTAAGACCTTTTAAATGGATCCATGGCTAGGTACTTTCGTCTGGTTACAAATCAAATAAATTTAATCTGAGATTGATGGAGGGTATAGATATGGTATTTGAGCCATTCTTCTTTGTTTATAATTCGTTGGTTTTTCAGGTGTCCAAATCTATAGAAGATTCTATTCGGAAGAAAAGGAAAGGTCAAATGGTGTTCTTGCTATATGCGTTAAAATGCCGCCTTCTCAGCCTCATGTTATTATGGCCTCCCTACTTTCAGTGAGAGCAGTTGCTTGCAATACTCTTCTTTAGTTTATGACTTCTTGATTCCTGAAATAAGATGAAGTTACACTGTTGCTTTCATGTTTTTTTAGAAATAAAGTACTGTACTTCTAAAGAACATAAAACTTAAATCACAAATTGACAGGAGAGTACATTGAATATATGAATCGGGAATTCATATAATTGGTATATCACAAATGTGTTGTTACGATCATATTACTTACAGCTGACTGTCTTTTAGGCTGATGTGTGTTATTTTTGCTTCTAGTCAATGTGGAAAGAAAGGAAAATGTCAATGATCTTATCCCTATTGATTGAAAAAGGTTGGCTGATTTACTAAGTGGGAATTACTTTCTTTAAGATTGTCTCGCTATCTTTTTCTTCGTAATCTCACTACCATAGAACACATACATCAGCAGAAAATAGGAAAAAGCTTGAGTAATTGAAAACTACACGTAACTTGCATGGGAAGCATGTATCCAAGAATTAAAAATGCATTCTTGATTTCCAGTCATGTTGATCTGAATTTGAGTAACCAGCTCGAGCAATTATTTGAGATGTATTTGGGGCCTCTTGTATTTTAAGATATGGTTGCATGCCTGTGTAGGATTTGAATTACAGTGGAGTTCAGAAACTACTTGGCTTTGTTGAGACTACAGGAACAAATCCAGAATTACTTCCTCCTCCAGCTTCAACTCTACTGTCAACATTTTCGGCACCACATAATCCTGATGTATGATATGCCTCATGATGATTTTGATGGAATTTTGCATGTATTTGAAGAAATGTATTTGAATAATTTCTTCCTTGTTATGTTTATGTCCTTGCCGATACTACTACAGTTTTTAGTTCTAAAAGAAGCATCAGTCAGTTGAACTGAAACAGGCCGAAACTGTTTCTCCTGGAATTCTGTTCTTGAACTTTTCACATCAGCACCGTATATTATATTACTGTGTTCAAAATTCTGCTGTCCCCTATCTGTCATATTTGTGCAAATTGTTTTCTTTTTAGCCACTTACATGGTGTCAGAATTATGATTTAATTGGTATACAGTATACTGCTTCCTATTCCAATTTGTATTAATATGCATGTGATTGTTGGTGATGATGCTGCATCATATTCGACTGCTTATTATTTTGTCTTGATTGGCTTGAGGTTAAAGGTTCAAATTTGACAAATGGTGCCAGGGCTCTGGCAAAGCATGTTAACAGAAGCAGAGAAGGATATTGGGGCTTCTTACGTGGCAGCGGTCAGTTCCCTTTCTTTCTGGTTCTTCAAAAGTCGTGTCTTGTAAATACAAGTGAATATGGTTACTGACCAGTTCACTCAATGTTAAAGCTGCAATAATAGCAGGAAATGAAAATGCTTAAGAAAAGGAGCAACTTAGGTCATGTATCATGAACAAAATAATTATTTGTTGAAATTGAAGTGTACTTTGGCAAGAATTATCGAATGCAAAGTAAGTCTAGACACCCAAATCCAATTGTTATATTTTTTTCTGGCAGGACCTCAAAGAAATTGAATGTTGGTCTTAAATGGAAGGTTGGCTTTCTAATAGAATAAATATAATATGTATTTTGTGTATGTGTGTTTTCATCTTTGTGTTTCCAAGGGGCGAATTTTTTTGTCTTGGCTTTAAATCAATTCCTACAAGTTTCTAGTGTTTATTTTTAATTTCCTTATACCTCACTCTCCTTCCACCCAACAAATCACTTTATAGGTTATACATTCAATAGTTTCAAAACAGTTATGCCTGGTGTCTGCATATCTTCCCTTGGATTGTAATATCATTTCTTGAATTGATGGCCCAACAAACTTTAAATGCACAAAGTGTGGTTTTTCATCCATCTCTTGTTGGGTAAATATAAACACAACTTGCTATCTCAAGGAGCTTTGGTCTACACTTGATCGACAAGTCAAGCCAAGCCAATCACGCAATATATGAAGTGAATGAAAATGTGCTTGTGGCATTTGTCTGACTTGAGTTATTGGTTTGATAGGCTTGACCAATAGTATGGATAATTAACTTTGCATTTTATGCAATGATTATGCTGTAGCCACTCAAAACATATAGAATGGTGAAAACTCTCTAACTCTCAATTATAACACACATAGGTTCTTTGGACTCTGCCTGCAGACACTGAGAAAAATAGGCACGCAATGGATGTAATTAGAAGCCTTTTGAGCCACTGTAGCTGGATGAACATGCATATTGTTCGACCACATGGAAATGTCTTAGAGGTTAGGATGGATGATGGTTATGGTGCAAGGTGGTCTGGGGATGGATCTAAGGTATAATTTTTGTTATCTTTGCCGAAAAAACTTTTCTCTTTGTTCTTAGGCATTGTATGCATGCTATGCTTATACAGCTGACAATGGCTGCTAAATTGACTTTCACAACCCAAGTAAATCAGACATGATTTTTGTTGATCATCACTTGCAGTTTATAGGATTTCTAGAGCCTTACATGGTGGATGGTTATTCGTGTGGCTGGAAACATTAGTTCAATGGATTTCAAAGTAAGGAATTCGAGCCAGTGGTGATATGTGTGTTCATTTTGCGTGAAGCTTGTGAATATAGTTCTATAAGGTGTCCCTTTTTATTATTATATTATTATATTATTATTATATTATTCATTTTATAATTGATGAATTACATTTATAATAAAATAGAACATGGTTATCACCATATTTTCCAAACAAAAAGTAAGAAAAAAATAGACACAGCATCGTCATGTATTAGCAAAATCAGAAGGAAAATTCTAATGTTACATTCTACGAAAAGAAAAAATAAAGGAAAAAGATTGAAACCAAATAAGATTCATTAGCAAAATAAGAAGAAAACTTCTAATTTCCCATCTTAAAAGTGTCCGTTTTTCCCCAATGTATGTCTTAAGCTATTGATTAGACAAATTTATTCCTAATATACAATCTTTGTAGTAATTTTCAATCCTCATACAAAAATACCCTACAATTAAATAAATGTATTTTGGTCCATTAACGATGAAATACGCATGGACCAGAACCCATGGACCGCTTAATCTATTTCTTGTCAATTAGCAATGAAATATTTTTATTTTTATTTTTTTTTTTTGTTGGAAACGATAAATTTTATAACTCAAAAACGGAATTTAAAAAGTTAAATTTGAAGGCCAACTAGTCAAACAAATTCATCATGAAGGTTGACTCTTGGAGGAGCATTAAGAAAAGTGTCCCTAAAGTAAAACTAACAGGAACAAGAATAAGCATCCTAGCATTCGACAGTGTTAACTGCGCTTGAAATCGGTATGCTTGATGTTTATTTCAAACAAAAAAAACTCCCATGGTGAAAACTCCATCTGGACTCAGATCTGTCGAACGAGAGGCTAGAAAGACGCCAACGGCCTGCCCGAGGCTGGAGGATAAGCGACATCGAGGCTGCGGTCCGCCAAAAAGAGGGGCTATCGGAAGCTCCCCTTTTTTTGTGCTGTGGATTTTAGTGAGAGAGAATATATTGTTGGATTCTATGAAATACGCATTTGACTAGTAAAATTTTGAAAGTGCGGTTTAATTTTGATAAAAATTAGTTCTTCATTTAGTTATTTACTTATCTCAAATTTTCTTTGATTATCTCTTCAATTTATAATTTATATTTTTAATTCAAGAATTTACCACACATCATTAATTATTCCTATCCATTACACAATCGCATCATTTTATGTTATAAAAGTAATATATTTTTTTCTGCTAATTATCATCTATCCATCACNAATCTATCTCTCCAAACAAAATCAATCCTAAATGAAAGAATATCCTATTTAACTTCTCTTTTTTATAGTTGCGAAAACTCGGATCCTTAGATTTATAAGGTACATAAATATTATTAAAAAAAATCATATTAAAAATATTTCCAATGATAATTCTCCATTGGTAATTGGTTTTCTAGATATTTAAAAAATTATTCACAAATTTTCTTCTACATGGTGAATGATTTATATACAACTAATTCAAAATTGACAAACCATTTTTTCAACATTTCATTTTTATTTTTATGAACTTGAAAAGCTTTAAATTAATGTTACTATTTATTTCGTGTGTGAATGTTGTTTGAGTTATAACTTGAAGTAAATAAGAGGACATACTCTATATTGTTAAAATAAATTTCCTTTTTCCTGATAAGATGTAATAAACATTAAGCAAAATGAAAACCAGACGGGCCTTGAATTAAATACAGGCCAGGCCCATTAGGGCTTTATTAAGTTAAATTCCTCCACATATAAAAACGCACGCAAACCGTTTCAGCCTTAAAACTAGGGTTTGGAAGTTTGCTCGCTCATCTTCTCCAGCATCAAAGACAGACGCCCTTCTTCGAAAATGGTACTTTCTTTTCAATTCTTATGCATGTTTCAGCTGTTCTGCTAGGATTGGAGCTGGAAAGTTAATTTTAATGTCTTAGACAACATTACATCTACTGCATTTGCTTTTATATTTTCCTTTTTGTCGTTTTCATTTATTCGGAAACATTTTAGCTCATGTTTTTGTTGATGTTAAAGTGAAGTGATGATTCTTTGTAAGAAATCTGAATTCTAATCCTAGCCTTTGAAGGATCAAAATGTTGGGGCTTAATATATGCACAATTTTCCTCCCGATGAAATCACAATGAAATTGTACTTTTATTTATTTAGCTGTTCAATTCGATTATCAAATGTGTGCGGTACATATGCTTTATAGTACATGTTCTTCAATCTGAGCAATGTTATAAATATCCACAAGTTGTGGAATCAGTACTTTGTGGTGTATGGGTTAAATCCAGTTCCTCGTATGCTATTTCTGTCTGTTAAATATGAGCAGAGTGTGTCACTTGTATTCTAAAGGTTACCATTTGTGTTCTGCTGGTCTAGTTTCACGGGCTTCTGTGTATATTTTTATGTAATCTATGTGGGAATAACAACAACGCATGACTCATTTTGGTTATGGTTGCATGTGGATTTTGATTGATCTGGTAATCTCGTAGATTTAAGTTTCATTCTCGTAAAAATAGTGTCTTGATGTTTTTTTGTTCGATTATGTTGGTTATATGCAGCCGAAGCAAATTCACGAGATTAAGGACTTCTTGCTTACAGCTAGGAGGAAGGACGCTCAATCTGTGAAGATCAAGAGGAGCAAAGATGTTGTCAAGTTCAAGGTTAGATGCTCAAAGTATCTGTACACCCTCTGTGTCTTTGACCCTGAGAAGGCTGACAAGTTGAAGCAATCCCTTCCCCCAGGTCCGTTTGACTTACGAGCATAGTTAATTTATAAGGATTTTGTTTATCTGCTATAACTAATCTCTGCAAGAATATTGATCTTTTACTGGAGCATTAAGATCATATGAAGCTGTTTGCAAGTTTGTTGGGTGTTTTCATTGAAGGATATCATATTTGATGTGATTTGTTGAACATCTCACGGTCCTGTTTAAAGTATATTGGATCTATTTTGCTACTTTTGTTTTGGGAATTTGTTATTGTTTGGAATCACTGGTACCATATGTTCTTGTTAGATTCTGAAGGCAGGCTGGCTAACATTTGTTATGAATTGTTGTTATTTTTTTATTCATGGGGTATTTGGACATATTGTTTTCCGCCCCATTGTATTTGCTTGACCTTTGTGTGTGTATCCTATGTGATAAAGTGTCTCAAACTGTTGTTTTATGTCGCAGGTTTGAATGTGCAAGACCTGTGAACTGGAATTTGTGGACTTCAGTGATTGTATTTTGGTGAAAGATTTTGCTTGTTTTTGGGTATTGTTTGAAAAACTAATCTGGATGGGAATCATGCAGTCTATCTGTGGTGAAAACATATTCTGGGAGTCATGGTTATCAATGTGTTGGTTTTGGATTTTCTAGATGATATAGATCGTGTTATCCGACTTGCAGAACTATATAGAAACTGCTTTACAATACCGGAAGGTGTGATTTATAATTTAAGAAACATATCTGGAATTTTATGTTAGGCTGAACTAAAACCTTGAAGTGGGTGGGTTTGAACTTTGAATAATTATATGCTTTGAAAATTGTTATTTTAAAAGATGAAGAGAATTGGAAAATGCAGTTTAATTCTATTATTTTCCAATAGTCTGGGTAAATTTGACATTCTTCTGCTACTAGTAAAATTCTGATTACTAAGTATTTGCTACTAATTACTAAATGCAAAAGGTAACAAGCATTGAATGTATTGTATATATATAATGGGTCTCAGGAAGCTCTTTTTAGTCTTATTATCTTATATCAGACTTGAATTTGACCATATTGAAATTAGAATTTCACAAAAAAAAAAAAAAATATTTTTCCAATTATCTATCTACAATTCTACATTACGATTTGTGGTACACCATTCTAATGTTGTTTTAATATGGAGAAAATTACTCCCTACACCAAACTTTTCATTTTTTATTACACAATTAAACATGTATTGTGTTCATTTTTTATTACACAATTAAACATCTATTGTGAATATTAGCAATCCTACTTAAAATCATGCTTTTATTTGTAGATTTATCAAAAAACATCTATATTAGTTAATGAGTAATTTAATCATTAATTATATCAGTTTCTCTCTTTCAAACCACGGTTCTCTCTCCCTATCTCTCATATTCTTCTCTCTCTACCCCTTCCTCTCCATTCTTTTTCGCTAAAATGTGTTTTTATATTAATACAAATTGGTCGACGAGTTAATACACTATTAAAATAATTTTATTTTTTAAAAAAAAGGTTATAAGGTACAAACTCGCCCGTGCTGAATCGCATGTGATGCTTACTAGTTTTTTTGGATACTCTGTTTTGAAATAATAAATTTAGCGACATGAATACTAATTTTATGTTGAAAATTAAATTATGATTATTTGAAAATAATTTGAATATGGAAAATTTACATTGATAATTGAGTGGGAAGGGATTATTTTCTTGTGTATTGTATCTTTGATAAACAGATATAAAAACATTTCAAACCCTGTAAACTCTATTATTCTTTCTGGATGCCCGAGGTTGAGATCCAAGAGTGAGACACATGAATTCCAACGAGCGACGGAGTCCAAGTAAAAGGATGAAGAAGCTCGTTGGACAACAAAAGCCAGAGTTTATAATCAACGTCTCCAAGTAAAAAGATGAAGAAGCTCTTTGGACAATAGAAGCCAGAGTTTATAATCAAGGTCTCCAACGAATTTTACATAATCTACACTCTACCAGCATAAACAATTTTTTTTTCTTTATATTTCTTTTCACACAGCTTATGAGCACTCCTCTGGGGTTTAAAATGTATTAATAATTAACCATGTGTTTATGTTTAGCCCCCAAAATTGGTCCTTGTTGTGCTAGGATTTTATTAATATCAATAAATAATTTATTTTGGCTCCACAATACAAGGCAGGAGAGGGAGAGTATCAACAGGGGGGATCCGCTCGTAGGATTCATGCAAATACCAGAATTTATTTGTATGTGAAGTTCTAAATTAATAAAAAAATATAACATTATTGAAGTTCTTCTGCAGTTAACTATGCCAAAAATTTACCAGTATATGTGCCATTTCCCATATATTAGATACTTTTAGAATATTTAAGCTCTGTGGTCTGTTATATAGTTTAATATTTTAATGCATTATAGGTTGTTATTGTTTTGGGTTTACTTTTCAATGTATGAATAGAAGTGAAAAATAAAGAAGATAATGAATGATAGCTTGATACCTTCCAATATCCTTCTCCCTCTAACTCTCTAAGTATATCACTAACCAAAATTTCATGGTCAGTCTAGTGCAAATCGATGATTCAAGTGCAACATAAAACTGGCAAATCAAATAAAGTGCAACGACCACCACATAACATGTCGTATAATCTGAAAAATTTTATTTCACCCACACAAAGCCATCAGCCACATTTTTTCCTGACAGGTACACTACAAAATCACATTAGGCTGATTTTTACTACCTTGTAAATGTTACTCCATAGTTTTTTCAGGAGGAGTCGTTTACATACACAAGTGTAAAAATGAGACACCCGACGTAGCAAACAATCAGCACGGTATCCTAGTCCAGCAAAACAGGAAAACAAAATTTACACACAAGATTCACCCAACACATGTACTGCAAAGTGAATTAATGAGCCATATACTTCGAATGCAAAGGTTCGGAAATTTTTGGCACAGTTGGCAATAATAAACTGATTTTGTGAGAATAATATACTTTCAAAGCCAGCCATACCTGCATATGAAATTGGCAAACATACTAATAATGTAGGTAGATATCAAGGAGCCTTCATATACAAAGGACATTCAAAACAAACTAAAAGGATAAAAAAAACTTAATCAATTGGATGGACCATGACAAAGTAAACCAGAATTCCTACTCGTAGTAACACAAGCCTGGAAACTAGCAAATCATAAACACAACGCGAAATACCCAATGGATCCATCACATAATAAGCCAAATAAACTATAGATATTGATAAAATCAGAAAGCAAACAACAACAAAACAACCTGCGTGCACATCCTCAATGGCCCCTGGACTTCATGATCTTCAGAAGAAGCTTTGCCTTTTCAGTCTTAACCTCAAAAAGCCTCACATACACCTCCATCTCTTCAATCTCGAGCTTTTTCAATGCTTTGTCAATTTCCTCCTCTTCGACTGGAACATTGTCGCCTAACTCATACCTCCTCTCAATATTGTTGGTGTCCGCCCCACTGCCATTGGCTTTTTCAACCCCATTTTCTTTCTCAGTCCCCCACACTTTCTCTGACAGATCGAAGGCTTCCTGCTCATGCTGGCTCGTAAAGGTTCTTCCTTTACCTTTGCTCTTGTTGTTTGTGTACTTCTTTTTCATCTTGGACATCTTATCCCTCAGCTGACTCCTCGTCACGTCAAAGTGCAAATCTTTCTTGATGAACTCGTAAAAGGCGTCCATATCATAATGCGGGTCGGATTTATTCTCGGCCCTAAACTGCATAATTCCGTTCAGGAGGGCGATTTCGTCCGCCTCGCTCCATATCCTCTGGAAAAATTGTTTCTTCTCGGATGCCTCGGGTTCAGCCTTCTTGCTGTTCTTCGACTTCTTGGTGACAGTGGGCTCCGTCCCGTTAACCTCCTCGACGGCCCGCTTTCTGGTAGATCTGGCCGGTGAAGCAGAGGCGGCGATGGCCTTGTCCTTGCCTTTCGATTGGGATTTTTTTCTGGTGTTGGATTCGGATTCGGATTCGGATTCAGATCCAGAATCCTCGTCGGTTGGGACGGGATTTGTGGCCGAACGGGTCTGGGATTTCCTGGCGGCGGCCGGCGGTGCGGAAGACTTCTGGATCGATTCGGGCTCAGATTCGATATCCTCAGACGAGGAATCGACGTTTTCCTCCTCGCCAGAAGTGGTTTCAGAGGAGACGGGCTTCTCGGGCTCACGGGATCTCGACATTTTTCCGGAAGGTAAAGAGTGTGTGGGGCGTGGTGGACAATGGATATTCAACAAATTTAGTAGTGAAAGTAGGGTTTGGGCCGTTTCGTTTTTAATTTTAATTTAAGAACTAGTACAACACCAATGTATTACATGAGTATACGACGATCGATTCATAAAAGTGGGATCGGTATCTAGATAAGTCAAATTCAAGACCGTCTCGGACCGCCTCCACCTCTGTCATAAATAATCAACATATTTATAGATAATCCGAACCTAAATATTTTTAGATTAGAAGTAAATTAAATCTATCCAAGCCAAATAACGAAGCATGTAATTTTGTCACATAGGATCTCGAATCATGCGAACCTGCCACATAAGTTCAGCGCGTTCTGGATTAATATATAAGGGGGAAGGAGGATATATCTTATTTATTTTTTGCAAAAAAAAAAAAAAAATATATCCTATTTATAATTTGGAATGTTTTAATTGGTAGTCTCGCACATTTCGCGGGTATTATTGGCCAAAATTTCATGCTTTATCACATGGTTTGAATAACTATTAATTTACTTTCAATGCATAGGCTTGAAATTATCCATAAATATCTGGATATTTATGACCATTTTAATGAACATTAATTGTGTTTTAATATAATTTTGTATAATCGACGTAATTTATAAGGAATGAGATTTTTTGTCTCAGTCTTTCTTTTATCTCCCAATCTTTTCTAAAATATAAATATATTTTAAAAGTAATTCTTTATATTTATTAATAAATTTTGTATATAATATAATAAATCAATCATCTCTTCATTAGTTTCGATTTGATGTCAATATTGAATGATAAAATAAATAAATAATTATATCTATATTTACAAATAAAAATTAAATCATTCTTAATTTTAATTGAAAAAAAATAAAATTATTTATATATAAATAAATTTAACTACAGAGTAATTATATGATATAAGTTAAAAAAGACTATAGTATAAGATAATTAAATAGTATATGTGAGAGTGTCATTTTATAATAATAATATATTTTTAAGAAAAAAAAAACATGTAAAATTTCAAACATATTTTTTTATTACTTTTTAAATTTATAAATACATTTTTAATAAACACTCATGTAATACGAGTATTGTTGTTACTTTTCTAAGTTTAAGTATAAGTTTTTTAACAAACACCCGCGTAATACACGAGTACTGTACTATATTCAAATAATACTCAATTGATAGTATCTATGAAACACTTATGATATGGATATGATACATACGGCAAACACGAGGAAATTCTGTATATTTTCAAATTGAAACACAGTCACACAGGTGTATTTGTTATAAATTATTTTAAAATGGAACACGACTGTATTTGTTTAGGTTTAAAAGTTTATTAAATGAGTCGAACAAGATTTAAATGATCTAGCTCGAGCTCATAATTTTTGTTTGTTTATTAGACGAGTTGAATCATGACAACTCTTTATTATATGTGCATGAGTATAAATATGAAGTACTGAACTCAAATAATCTAGCTTGATGCGTGTATATCCCCCTTTTAAAGAATTCTCCAATATTTTGAGCATAAATGGCAAGCTCGCATGCTTTGAAAGCGGATTTGAAATAAATTTTTATTTTGTATTGACACATGTACAGGCTTGGTTTACCAACTAGGTTTAAGAATGACCATAACACTATTTTACCTTTCCTTTTCTTAAATTACCATATATTACATTTCCTTACCATACACTACATTTTTTTTCTTATTTAATTCGTATATTAATTATTATAAATATTTGTACTCCTTATTTTAAGAAATATAATTTTTTTTATTTATATAGTTTATTTCATATATGATATATCAATACCATCTTCAACAAATCTTGATTTGATATCCGTATTGTATATATAATATAAAAATAATTTCATATGTCTTGATTAATAAAATTTAAATTTATTTATCATACCAAATGAGAAATATCAAATAAAACTATAAATTAGTCCATAAAATAACAAAAATTAAATTTTATTATACCATAAACAATCATTTTAGTATATTTATTTTTATAAACCTAGAAAAAATGCAGAAATTGAGTATCAATAAGAAATGAATATGAAAAGTATTCAAAAAATTATATCTCGACTTAAATAAAGTATGTATAAAGCTTGAACGTTATTAAGATATAAATAAAATTACGAATGAATATCATAATTAAAAATTATAAAACATTTAGAAAATATTACATTTGTATATGTTAATTTATATTTTTTTTTGTTAAATGTTAATTTATATTTTAAATCATCAAATATTATAAATTTAAAATACTTTATATGAAAAATCAATCATTACAGTACAATAAGGCTTTTAAGAAAACTACAAAGTTCAAAATCAATTTATGAAATTGTAGATAACATCTTCTTTTGTCATATATAATTTAATAAATATAATTAACAATTATTATTTTTAACAAATCAAATGTAGAACACGGGTTTCGTGTTAAATAATACTATCACTTTCTTTGTTCTTTGTTTTTATAATTATAAATAATAATATAATCATTCTTTTATTTTATTTTTTCTTATAAAAGTATCAATTTTTTTTTTCAAGTCCACGTGTACTTTACTCTTAACTCTATTGGATTCATGGTCGGATTTTGTATCCTTAGTCGTTGTCCCTCCATACTCTTGACCTGAACTTTTTTCTTTACTGTTCCTCTTGTCCAAACAACCTCCGAGCAAGTCAGGTCTTCGAAGAAAAGACTTAAATCTAAGAATAAGCAAAAAGGTGAGAAGCCAGCTCAGAAGACCACCAGGGCATAAGTGGGCATAGCGCATCGCTTTGAACAACCAGCTAGATTCTCGACCTCGAATTATCTCACTAGAAATCCATTTACGGCGTTGCAAAACCCATCTTTGTGGATGGGTTTCAGCCACGCACAATAGGCATCCATATAGAAAG